GGGTCAGTGATGCTGGCAGAGACATCTTGAGTCCTTGGGCAGGTAATTACAGGACTCCGAGGATGACAGGTAAGGGCATGAGGCCCAGGTGATGATGGTCTCAAACCTGCTGCCCAAAGGATAAAACTTGGGCAAAAGTTGCCACACACTGTGCATCAACTCCAAGCTTTGCAGCTAGTGTGGCAAGCAGGGTTTTGGCTTCTGTGACCACAGGACATTCTTTGAGATATGAAGACTGCTAGGGAGAGATCAGACAAGATGGAGCAAGAGCAACAAGCTCAGTAACCTTGTGAGAAGAGACACAAGTAAGGACCATTGGTAGATGGATGTGAAAGTCTCCACATAAGCAAGAGGGAGGGAACGGAGAGCACACGCATGGAACAAAGCAGTGAGGGATGCTTGTACACTCCAATGAAAAGGCAGCAAAACTGAAAGCCCACCTCAAATGCCTGTACACAAATGAACTTGGTGTTGGAAAGACACAGGAGGAATTCAAGTTCGTGTAGTCACTGGATGATTGATAACACCATGGCAGCTGCAGACATGGTGAGACAACTTGCTTAATTGGAGTGCTTTGCTGGATGCATACAGAGTCTTTAAGAGCAAGCAGTTAAGATAGGGTGGGATGGCTGTAGTCTGCTCAAAGAAATATTTTCAATGGACAGAGTTCTTCTAAGTAACAGGAGCTTATGGACCAACCATAAGGTGGACAAAAAGGGTGGACAAGGTGGTTATGGTGGGCATCTGCCAGAGGCCACTCAATCAAGAAGAGGAAGTGAACTAGAAAAAGAGTAATGATTTCTGGTTCTCTCAGGGACTCAGACACCCAAATATCCTCTAGAAGGGCAAGACTGCAGTGCGCAGGCAATCCAGGCAGTAGACAGACTGCATCAAGGATAACTTTTGAAACAGGTGTGGAACAGACCAACTAATGAAAGTGCTTTGCTGGACCTGTTACTCACAAATAAGGAAAAACAGCTCAGGAATATGATAGATGGTGCTAGCTGTGGTTATAATGGCCATGAAACAGCAAAATCTAGTATCCTGGGATGAATATGGAAGGTTAGTAGGAGATTAAAGACTCAGAATTTCAGGACAACAGACTTCAGCCTGTTCAGGGAAGTGGCAGGCAGGATCTGAAGGGAGGCTGCCCTGAAGGGCAAAGGGATCCAGAAGAGCTGGTTGGCAACTTCCTTAAACTGCAAGAATGGTCCCTCAGTGTGCACGAATTCAAGCAAGTCTGGCAGAAATGAAAGTTAGCCTCATACAGAGCTGCACAAATAATACTATTATTTCCCTTTACTCAGTACTTGTGACATCATATCTGGAATATCGTGTCCTTTTTGAGGCCCCCTGGTAAAAAAGAGCTATCGATAAGTCGTCGTGATGACCACCAAGATGCTTAGGGGAATGGAGGACAGGGAGAGGCTGAGTGAGCTGGGGAGTTTTCATCTGGAGAAGAAAAGAGTCTTCATCTTTCTAAATGGAGTTCTATAGAAAGCGGGAATAGACTCTTCAGAGATGTGCACACTGAAAGGATGAGATACAGTGGTCACAAGCTGCAACAAGGACAATTTCAGGTGGATATAAGTTAAAAAAAAAACCCACAACATTTTTCACAATAAAGTTGGACAAACCAGGACAAGTGCCCAACTATGCTGTGGAGCATCAATTTTTGGAGATTTTTGGAACTTGACTGGATTAGACTTCAAGCTGCCTGATCTAACTTTGAAGCCAGCCCTGCTTTGAAAGGGAGGTCAGAACTGATTGTCATAAGAGGTTTTTTCCAACCTAAATTTACTCTGTGTCACTCATGATCTTTGTTTAGGCTCCTTCCACAGATCCCTCCAGAAGGCAAGTCTATATGCCTTAGCACAGATAAGGTGAATTGTTTCTCTGAGATTGTGTTTCTTACTACTGACAATAGAGGTTTAAGCAGTTGGTTCATAAAAAAACATTTAGCTTTTGGATGGCTAAACAGTTGGCACGAATCATGTTCCCGGTAATTTCTTCAGCTGCTTTCTGAACCCTAAGACGGCACAGCAGACCATGCTACAGGCTGTTCTCTTCAGTTGAGGCAGAGCTTTCATCTGCTACCTAATTTGTCACTTAAGGTTGCAAAAGGATACAGATACTTCAGTCCAATAACAGATGTCAAAATTGCTTCATCTAGCATTTTTCTTTAAAGATATACTAAGTAGGAAAATGGCTATCTTCCTCTCTTCTTACAAACTTCCACAGAACAACCACCGTGTCTAACGTCTTTCTTAGAAGCCTATTATCCTCCCCAGTATAACAGCAACTTGGACTTTGCAATAAGGCAGCATCCAGGTCCTTTCAAAACAATGTATATAGTTCCTTTTTTTCTTCAAATCAGTATGCTAGTATCTGTCTTACAAGAACTCTATCTTCATCTATGATCTAAGTCACATTACATCTTTTAACTTTCCTATTAGGTCTGTGTTTAAACAGATGCACAGCTGGCTGCACCCTGGTTACATATTGGTATGAGTGCCATATGTGCACCACTCCTCCTCACCCTCCCCTTCCATGCTCTGTTTTCCTTTGGGAGGCAGTAAATGAACAGGCCCTGTAGTCCTGAAGGAACTGGATAGAGGGAGGGGTCAGGGCAGCACGGAACACCACAGAGTATACCACCCTGCCTTTTAGAGGCAGGCTAAAACACTTCTCTTCCACATCAGGCTCTACCTTGTCTTGCTCTGCCCCCAAGTTATCTGAGATTTACGATATTACTGTTATGAGGAATTCCTGTTGGGAGAGAAACAGGTAGAATCTTCATGCTGTCATACCTTTGGGTCTAAGAATCCCTCCTACTCTCTCTCCATTTAACACAATGGGCTGTTGTTCATCAACACCATGAGAAACTGAGTTATTGCCCAGGACATCCCACAGGACATAGCTACTGACAATGCAAAGCATTTGTAAGCTCTTCTGATGTCGGTATGGTCTCTCCCTGCAGCATGGTTTTAATTCATGATATAATTAAATCCTCACCTTGGCTTTGTGAGTACACTGACTTGTGAGAAGAGTTGAAAGCAATAAACTTTTAAAAAATGTTTTTGTGGGTAATCTGAAGTGTTGGATAGGATAATGATATTTACAGTTAGTACCTTTTCCAACAGCTCTGCCCTACTGCTGTGACTGGGAGCAGATGTGGAAAAGCTTGGTAAAGAACTGTGTCCCCTTACCCGAGACAAAATGTCTTGTGTAAGCTGAATGGCTCCAGCGTCCTATACTTTGCCACTACCACTTCCTTTTGGCAAATCATAGCAGGATTTTGCTAAATATCTGCTTTTCAACAACAATGGATATAGTAAAAATAATACAGCTCTTCTCTGAAGCCCTGACCGAGAACAGTGCTGGATACACAGAGAGTGAAAAGTCAGGATTTCCTTCAAGAACATCTGTTCTATAAGGACAAAGGCTGAGAGGGGTAAAGAGACAGGCACAAGGTCACACACAGGGATAATAAAACTCATTTAATTTCACACACCTAAAAAAGTAGTCTCTCTAGATTCCATCAGTAAAGGAAAGAGAGGTGTAGGGTTCCTCCATAACACACCCATCTGACCAATATGAGGCCCCTCTTTCAGGATGAAACGAATCCCCAGCTGGGGGAACTTCTTGCACACATACGATTTTGACTGCCAAGTAACATTATTGCCTCCTGCAGGCCTTCTAGGAAAGCCAAGGGAGACTAGCCTAGACTTGGGAGATCTAACTTTCCCCTGCCTAAATGGGGGCGGATGAACTGACTCATGGAGGAGAATATACACGTCGCTTCAGACCTCTGCCCATCAGTCCCCGGTGCCTTCCAAGTGCCCGTTTCCTCTCCAACAGCCTCTGCTACTTTCTAGTCACAGCTGAGGTTTTTTATAGATTACAAATAAAGGAAAAAATCAGGACTCACATGGGCTCTTACTCTGCAAATTAATGACAAAAAGTATTGCAATATCTTTGGATTTCTGTCAGACCACGAATACTTTTTGTGTGTCTTTTAAAAGTGTGGAGGAGTAATTCTCAAAGGAGCAAATGCAAGTATGCAGGAGTTTTTTCAGCAATAATATTATAAAATACTTCCCACAGTTCACTGGAGGTCCCTTAAAAGGGAATAACGATGGCTAGCTGTCTATGCAGAGCTGCCAGGTGAAGTGGCTCAGCAAGGTCAGCAGGTCAGTAACGGAAAAAGAGAGAGCCCATGCCTTTTGGTCCTGACACAAGTGGCTCTGCCCCATAACACAGTACTGCTCTCGCAGGAGTGCCCCTCACCATGATTTATATAAAGGAGAACAGTGATTGAGCACATACTATCATTTACTGTATCTTACACACCAGTGTGGCATCTTGCCAGACTTTTCAATGTTAGTGGAACAGCATCCCAGAGGGCTGCCTGAACCGGCTGAATCCCGGGAGGGTGCACCCTCCACAGTACATGTGGGTTATGAGGAAGGAGGGAATTTGGTTATTTGTTTATCTTTCATTTACAGAGGTTTAGAGCTGCCACTTACTCATATATGACAACTATTTTGGGTACTCCAATCACGTTCAAAATGTTTCTCCTATATTCGTCATGCGAATGTGCTCTGCCTTCCGACTTCTTTAGAGCCTACCGTAACCATCTCTTGCATCACTGACAAAAAAAACTCTCTCCTTAGCTAAAGCCCTTGAGAATTTTATAAGGCAGCATCCTTAAATATGCATTCTTTTTCCTGCTAAAAAGTAGATTGAAATTGCAGTGTAATTCCATGATTTGTCCTGGATTTTTTTATCTTAATCCAAAAGTAGCTTTTAGAATAGCTTTGTGACTAAATAACTGTGGAAAGAATTGTCTCCAAGGCAGGAGCTCCACAAGACAAAGGATAGAAGCATATGCTTTTTCTTTCTTTTAACCATGATTAATGTAATTTTTGGTCAAGGAAAATGGAAGAAATACCTCATCCTTTCTATTCTTTAATTGACTGAGCAAACAGTATACCCACCAGCAATGATGAAAAAGCCTCCTCCTGCTTTGTACAGAATGTGGCTGGCAAAAGGAGCTGCACAGATGATGAAGAAACTAGCCATCACAATAGTGAGCACTCCCAGGAGCATAAGCACTGTCCAGAAACCTCGATAAACTGGAGAAAGGGAAGAAGGAAAAAAAGAATACAACAAGTGACATATTTGGCTAACAAAGATTTTTCTTTTCTCTTTCTCTTCTCAATTGCCTTATTAACAAATGAAACGTTCATTCTATTGTGCATATATATTATATATCATGTGGACCGAATTAGGTTTGAAGTCCTTATCTCATCATGACGGAAAATAGATTGTAAGTTACCATGAATTAAATCCATCTGCTTAATGTTTAGCAGTGACTTGTAAGATAGCAACTTGACCAAATTTATGGGTTTTAGAAAATGGTACACCAAAGCTATAGGAATGATTCTTTGGGATAAATTATTGGACTGGCAGGATACAATTGTTTTACTAAAATTGTCTGGGAGAAGCAGAGAGCTGTAACATCTTGGCATTTTTAGTGCTCAGACCATATTACCAATAGCAATCTGTAAGTTGTCTACAATTTACAACTGGATAATTCTCCTTATATATAATCATATTCAATAGAAGGAAATCCAAAGCAGGAGGGGGAGAAACAAAACAAAAAGAATAACCCATTTTTTTAAAAAACAGTTAAGTATTTTAAACCAGCCTATTCCTGCTCTAAAGCTCTTTGTATTTTATCAAATTTAAAATATGATGTTTCAGAAGTCCCTGTTAGATACTGCCAAGCAGTGCTGAATTAATGGATGCAGCTGGTGATAAATGAGACAAGAGTTTTGTGACATACTCTGGCCAAAAGAGTCTTTCTAACAATTATTTTTTAGCTGGCTAATTGCACATCCATTTAACAAAGTCATCATTTTACAAATATTACAAGAGTGACATAAATTTCTCCCATGAATTTAAAAATTGGTACATTAACACAACCCATTAGTAAAATTATGAGTTGCAAAGATCTCCATCGTCAAATCTGAAAATCTTGAAGCACTGACAATTCAGTCATTGAAAAACATTTCCACCCTACTGAGGGAAAGCATATAAGCCAGCTGGCAAGTCAGAAAAAGTGAGTCACAAAAGAAACTGCCACTTATCATTTGACAGCACCTACTTACTGTTATGGCAAAACACAACTAAGCAACTATTACACTGGTTCATATCCAGAAAGTTTCAAATTCATACAGCTTGTTTGAATATTTTCAGCTATTCTGGAATAATTCAGGTTTGCTCTCATCTGAAATTTGAAGGTGCACTAGACATTATCAGCTTGTGCTTCACGCTAATGTGTTCCAAAAATCTATAGTTTTTAACTTGACCAGCGTAACTCATGTTAAAGTATACACCATCTCCCTTTTATCAGCTTTGTAAATGTATTAGCTAGATCACGTTCACTACATCCCATTAGCCACAGTTTTTAAATAATATCTTTTTTAATTCAGGCAAGCATTCAGAGACATAGTTTTCCACCACACCAATCAGCAGATTTAGGCATGGGAAGGATGAATGTGTCTCAAAGTAGCTGGCAGAAGGGTTAAAAATGTGTTTTGGTTCATATCCAACACAAGTCTTCTTTCCACATAAATAAAAAAGAAAGGAAACAGTAGGTAAGAAATAAAACCATAGCTCAGTAAAGCAGCTAAGTGTGTGTTCTGCTTGAAGTACTCTACCTCTTACAGGATTTAGGCACCTATTTAAAGTTAAACACATAGTTAAATGTTTGACTTAATGCAAATGGACAGTGAACGGAGACCTAGAAAGGTAAATCTCTCAAGTCCTTCAGTCTTGGGTCTCTGAAGCAATTTCATATTATTTTACTCATGGGGCTACTTTGCTAAGCTTCATCGCAGTCCCAAGTCCATGGGACATTACTTCCTCATTTAAAACCTAATACTGCTAAATCAGTCTATAACCACCCAACTCTTTTACATGGATGGCCCAAGGTACTTCAAAGTCATGCTACATAATAGGACACATCGGCCAAAATGGACCTTGAAAAAGCTTTCTTTGATATCATTATGGTCAGTCACCTAAGTCATACAGCTCTGCTTCTATTTTCTGAATGGATGAGGACACAAGCTTCTCCAGCATACAGTTTCATTATCTACTCTTCCTACAGGAAGCTTTGAAGTCTGCTTTCAGTGAAATTTTACCAGAAAAGCTTGATTTGTTCAAGTATTCCTGGAAACTGAACACAAAAGGAGTATAAACTTAACTGATGAAAATTTGTTTAAACTTCTCTGTACCTATACAAGAGAAAAGCTGTTACTCTGCTCTAACAGCATAACTAGTTTATGCATTATATGTGAAATACTCATTTGACCTAGCTATCATCTGAAATAAGCTTCCATTCTATTTCTCTAGAAATAATTATTTGCTTTAGAGACTCGTGGATAAATTCTCATGATCTTAATACTTGTTTAGCCAGCTAAGCGTCATTAAATGTCAATTAGAAAATAGAGTTGACAGGTAAAAAGTCTGCAATGTTCCCAGACCTGTGACTTTTCAAGTGAAAGACTACTTTCTCTAATCTGCAACACAGCAAGTCATTAGGGTCATTTGTGGCACAGGTCTGAGGAAACATCCTAAGAGCATTTAGACCTTTTCTTTAGTAAGGCATTTAAAATGTAACTAGTTTTCTGCAAAGAAGGTTTCACTTATTTCATACTCAGACCATTTTCACTTGGACCACATTTCCCATCTTCTCTGCCTAGATGGACAAGATCAGTTCCTGCAGGGCTATTAATTCAAAATTATTATGCAGCCCTACAGCTGTCATTTAGCTTAGCTGGCATCTATAGATGAACACAGAAGAGCTGGTTGAAATTAAAACTACCTAAGAATGAACTTACTCTTGAAGGCAAAGGCTTTGCTGCTGCTCTGAGATTGAGGTGATTCTTTACAGATAAAAAGTAACAAAAGATGCTGGTTTGCATCATGTTTCTTTAAATCCCTTGAAAAGAGAAGACACTGTGATCAAAGAAGCCTGTTTCAAGAAATAACGTTTCAGTGTACCTACACAAGATGTTAAGAGATGTTTGCACCATTTCAAGTCTCACTGAGGCAGTTCATAAGGTAGCCCATGTTCTGGTTCAGATGACAAGGAGTATCCTTGCCTCAGGGTACTTCACGAATATATATTTGAGTTAGCTACATCAAGTACATTCATTATTCCAAGTATTTCCTACAGTAGAAGAAATAAAGTCCAAGCACTACCTCAGAGGCCGAGGTAAACCCATCTGCAGTGTTAATCTTAGATACCATTGCTCTGTGTCGCAAGAGTGCTAAACAGAAAGTTCTGTACCTTGCCTTGGTAAGCTGCCCCTTCATTGGGTACAACATTTGCCTTGGCAATGACAGGCAGGTCTAAAAATAAAACAGTACTTAAAAGAAAATAGGAGTACACACAGTATGCTTGTCTCTGAGCTCTGCGCCCTTCGGCCTCTATACTATGGGAACATTTTAGCTGCAGTATACTCCTCCAAAATTGCATGACCTGCAATTTTCCCTTGCTACTTGCTTTTCTCCCTAAAGAGCCTAATTTGGGCTGGAGACTTCTGCGTCATTTGCTAATTCCTCTGGAGACTTCTGTATCATTTGGAAACTAGAAGAAGTATCTGGTTTTGAGTAAGGAACCAAATTTTCGAGAAATGGCTGAAAATTATCAAAAGCTCCCTTTTCTAGTACAGTAGATCCCAGCATCGATTATAAACGGAAGCCACAGATTCATATTTTAAGATGTTACTGGCATGTGATATGAAAGAGAAGCAATAATATATTTGACAAAGTTACACACCGGCATGCTTGTTGTGTTGTAGCCCTGCACACCTCAGAAGCTCTGCAATGGCTTATTCAAGAACAGGTTAGCTAATGACACAATGTGACACCCATTGTCAACCAGAGATGTTAACATCCACCTCATGAAACCATACTACATATTTTATTGCCCTCGCTGACTTCAAGTGTTTTAAAATCATCAGCCCATGGATTCTCTATGGCCCGTCAAAAAAAAAAACAACAGCCCCTTAATATTGAATTCAATATAGAGCACAAATTATTAAGCACTACAAAGCTGAAAACATTCTGAAGCATGTGTGAGTACAGTACTGCATAAACATTACCAAGAATAGGCAAAATGACTCGGAAAAGTTGCCTTGAATTTTCACCCACAAGCTCACATCCTAAAGTGAACCTTTCCTGTGATTTGACTGTGGATTGTATTTTAGAGTACGTCTCTTTTACCTCTCTATTTAATGCAAGAGATATCAAAATGCTTTTGACCAGAGGTATCAAAATGCCACCCACAATATAAAATACCATGAAAGGTGAAGTACTTGAACTGCCTTAAATCAGGATTATCTTCTCTGCAGATAAAATCTCAGCAGCAGCACGAGGGACACACCTGGCAACACAGTAAACCTTGCAAAACTTAAATTCTGAGTTTCACTCAGTACCCTTTACTATCCCTTACTAGGAATAACATTTTTTTTAAATCACTTTAACAGTAAAACAAATACAATATTCACAGTATGAATACATTGCTTTTTTAAATACTTCTTGCTTTATCGCTGCTTGGTGGCTGGGGAGTTCTTTAGCAAATGTACTGTATTACAATCTCTCATGGGCAATTATGTGACTGTATTACATAACAGCATTTTTTTTCTCTAGAAATAGGCTACTGCTAACATTTCACTGTACAATTTTTGCTTTTAGATTTTATTGCTGACATTTTCCAGATTACTTTAGGTTAATTTCAACCCAGTAACAAACCTGCCAATAAATTTGATCACACCATTTTAGATGTAATAGTTGCTGAACAAGAATTTTGCTTCAGTCTTATAAACATTCTGTATTCTACATTATATTACGTACTACTTCAAATGCTGGCAATGTGCCCAGTGCTGGACAAAATAGGATATTAATGGTCAGGAAAAAAAGGACTAGCAGCTACAAATCAGAGTATTAAACTAATGTGTCAGTGCAGCCCCATTAAATGGCTTCCAATTTAGCTTCAGAAAGTGCTGGGGCAATTTACAACAGTTAAGGAGCTATTGTTTATTTTCAAATAAAGTTGAAAAAAAAAACCCTCAAAAATAAATGTAATGACTTGACTAAGTGCTAGACCTTGCACTTCTTTTCCTTTGCAATAATCTCACTATAGCCAATGGGACTACTTGTACGAGTAAAAACTTCGTACATTTTTCAAAAACAGGCCTAGTATTGTCCCGTAGTAAAAGAGAGTTTTATGAAAGTGTGATAATTCTTGAATATCAATGTTAACTAATCTAATGGCATGATACTATGTATTAATCTAGCCAGCAATGAATTGTTACTTAAGTACTATACTATTATGTTTTCAAAATAGTCTGACAGGATAACCAATATGATTATGGTCATACAAATATTTATTTTAGAATGTAGAGATCACTACTCCGGCACTTGTATTGTATGGGTTGATTTCATTTTTTTGATTCCTAGCTTGTAGCTTGTTGCATGTATGTTTGTGAATCATCATACAAGTGAATGTGCTGGCAACACCATGAGGTGCTGTCTAAGTCTACATAATAGCTGCACACTATACCAGCTGTCACTATAAACCACTGTACCATCACAGAAAGTCGCTAGAGTCAGGCTTTCCCTCAGTTCATGTAGTGCCTATTTCAGGTTAGGATAAATGACATGGCCTGCAAATTTCTTTTAGCACATTAATCATAAACGATGGCTTGCACAGCTGTGGACTGCACCTTACCGTGCAGGTAGGTGAAGTTCTCCCCACTCCACCAAGATATTTAACAAAACCAGTAAATGAACAAAACCTTTATAACTCCCAAGCACAAGTACAGGCTGGGCAGAGAATGGATTGAGAGCAGCCCTGAGGAAAAGGACTTGGAAGTGCTGATGGATGAGAAGCTAAACATGAGCTGGCAATGTGCACTGGCAGCCCAGAAAGCCAACCATGTCCTGGGCTGCATCAAAAGCAGCATGGCCAGCAGGTCGAGGGAGGTGATTCTGCCCCTCTACTCTGCTCTCGTGAGACCCCACCTGGAATACTGCATTCAGCTCTGGGGTCCCCACCATAAGAAGAACATGGAGCTGCTGGAGCGGGTCCAGAGGAGGGTCACGAAGATGATCCAAGGGCTGGAACACCTCTGCTATGAAGACAGGCTGAGAGAGTTGGAGCTGTTGAGCCTGGAGAAGAGAAGGCTTCGGGGTGATCTTATTGCAGCCTTCCAGTACTTAAAGGGGGCCTACAGGAAAGCTGGGGAGGGACTTTTTACAGGGGCACGTAGTGATAGAACAAGGGGCAATGGATTTAAACTGAAAGAGGACAGATTTAGGTTAGATATAAAGAAGAAATTTTTCACTCAGAGAGTGGTGAGGCACTGGAACAGGTTGCTCAGAGAAGTTGTAGATGTCCCATCCCTGGAAGTGTTCAAGGCCAGGTTGGATGAGGCTTTGGGCAACCTGGTGTAGTGGAGGGTTTCCCTGCCCATGGCAGGGGAATTGGAACTAGAAGATCTTTGGGGTCCCTTCCAACCCAAACCATTCTATGATTCTATGATAACTGTGATTAAAAGATACAGGAAGCTGCAATTTCAAAGCAGTGCTATCTAACCCTTTGAAGAGGACCGTGCATCTGACAGTAATGATGAAAAGAAACCTGAGATATCAAAACATGCATTCAAATCCCCAATATATGCATCACTGTAGGCTCTTCTGTCTTTACATTCCCATCTAAGGCTATAATTCTTGACACCAAGAGCTCATAGTCTAGATTTGCACAGCAGGATGAAGCAAGCCTTTGATCTAAAGCTTTGTAAAGTGTGTTAAAACACTAAACTAAACTTGAACGTCTTCAATCTTTGAGTCTTTTGGGAACTATCACACAAATACCATAAAACCAACACACAAAAAGATGTAAATAAGCAAAGAGGGGATAGATTGATCATCCTTTGAATTCTGGCCCAGAAAAGCTCTCAGCCAAATTTCTACCGATACTAAAGCCGAAGGACTTATGTCAACAGAGAACTTGGTCCAGACACTGCACTCAAAAATCATCAGAGATTTTATATTCCTCAGGAAAACCTTATCTTTGCCTGAGCATTTCTAACTGGATGGTAACATGGCACTCTACCAACAAACTACACTTATGTTTCCACTAGGGGCTGGAGTTAAATCCAAATTCCTCTGATAAGGTCCCAAAGTCTCTTAAGCCAAACAGCCTGTAAAAGAAGTCACATGCCTTTGCTTGCTCAGAAACTAACAGTTCTGTTAACAGAAAGTTAGAGATTTTTAGAAAAAAATTGTTGTATATAGGTGTTTGATTTTTCTAATGAAGTTTAAAACTTTTTATTCAGCTGTTTGTTTTTCTGTGAAAGAGCAAACTAAGTATTTTGCAGATGACAGAATGTTTCTTCTTATCCACTCCTAATTAAACTAGGACTTGAGGGACTCACTAAAAAAACAGTCATAGACACGTGTGAGAGATTTCTTTTTTTTATCTCTGAAAGTGAATATGTTGACAAAACTATGAGCCATTAAAATGTTAATATTGTATCAAGAAACAGTGGCAGAACCAAAAAAAAGGACAATCACTTTCAGTAGTGCCCTTTTGTTCTATATTTAGTTGATGTAAGGTATTAGATGCAGCTAACTGGATATACAAATAGTCGATGAAATCTTGTTCTTCATGAAATCAAACTGAGGGGTTTTGCCATTAGCTTTTACAGAGAACCATTTCCTTCAGTGTGAATCAGGAAGAAGAGGATAACCTTCTAGTATTACTTAACTTATCAACTGCAGTTGCAGCAAGGTTTTAAAAACTTGTTTGCCAAATATAATGGGCAGGACTGCCAATCTAGACTAAAGGAGAAGCAAGTTTTGAACAAAAAGAAGAGATGATGGCATAACCTTCTTCATAAAAAGTTACGAAAGATTCTTGAACAAGCATGCCTGCTCTAGTAAATAACAGCATGGATGCTGAAAATCAACTGGAGGCATAAAAAAAATCCATACCTCTTCAGTTTTAATGAGCTCGAAAGCAATCCAACTGTATCTATTTATACAGCAGGAACGGCTCTGAATATATTCTACTTGGGCCAGCATCTATAGTACAGTTCGGTCTATTTTTAATCTCCTATTATGAAATATAGATAGGAAAATTATATTTGAGCAGTGGTTCTTTTGGCAAACATTAACTAAAATTAATTAAACTTTTGATGATATTCCTTCTCTTTTCCTTATTCTTTGTTTGTCCACTTCTGTGTAATCATGCAGTATAATTTGAAGATCCCTTGTGAATGTATGAGTGAATGGTGGAATACAAACTCTGTCTAGATTATTAGGACCTGATGACTCTGTCATTTTCAAATGGAAAGATAAACTGTTCTAGATGTGCTGTGAAGTTACAGATTAGAGCTCTGAGCGGTGAGGTCTGAATTCTGCCTGGACAAACAGTTCATAATTTCTAAAGATTAACAGAACCATTATTGGTCCAACTTATTTTCTTTTCATGTCTGCAGCATAAAAATTGGATTCTGAAGACACTTCAATGTTAGCAAAGGCATAACTACAGCTTCAGGACAGGAAGGGATCACTTAAATCACTGAGTCAGTGGGCTCAGAGACATGCAGCATCCACACATCGCAGGTTATTTAGAGAGACATATGAAATAGGTATCAGAAGTGATTTACTTCAAATATGTTTGCATAAAGCCCTTGATGTGATGAAATGTGATGAATATTTTTAAGTGGAGTTGTTAAAACAGCTTTCCAGGTATTATTCAAACATAAGGTTTTCAGTTACTGTGTATCTTCCATACATATATACACATATGTATCTCTGTTACTGCGCTAGAGTTTCTTGGTGTTAGTATCTCGGTTTAACACGGTGTTTTGAACTATTATAGAGAATATATATAATTTTAAAAGAGTTTAGTTCTCAAAACAAAATGCCCATTGCTACAATTTTAGGACACGTTATTTATGTATGGCACACACTATGCAGAGTAATTTTAGTGCCTCAGCTTCGTATAGCATCAATGGAGAGAAGATGGTACATCCAGTGGTCAGTGCAGTATATCTGAGTTAACTGAATAAACATAAACTTAGACAGTATCAAGGCCCTTCTCCTCTTTCCTCATAAAGTGAAAATACAATATATTTCCACATGTGGTTATTTATTTAACGAAAAAACAGTTTTGTTGGAATACATGAGAAGTACTTGTTTAATGCATTCAGCCCAAGGAAGAGACTTCTTATGTTGTATAAAAATGCACTAAAAAAGGAAATGTCTCTTTTTTTAGAAATTAATTCCACTCTGTCATCACACTTAAAGCTAAGCATTCATTTAAGTGCTTTGCTAAATAGTAGCTTAAATATGCATGTTGTAAAATTGTGAGAAGTATGAAACACCACAACTCTATTAATTAAACTGTGTGGAGCGATAAGGTTGTTTTATACTGAAGTATCCAAATTGTTTTCTTGAAACTATAGGCATTGTAGCCATTTGCAGCTGAAAAAGTACTTACTGATTGCAGAGTTATAGGAGGTTGCATTGTGTTCATCTCGAATAAGAGGAAATGGTGACAGGTAGGCATGTGTACAATTCTTAGAAGGTGACTGGTTTGCTAAAAGTGAAAGAAAGCCAAAGGTTAATATTCTGCTGCCTTAATAATAAAACATTTTAAGTCTGTTCTTCAAATGGGCGAACTGGGTTTTGCAGGTCAAGATTCCCGGTTCTTTCCCAGGCGATAGCTTACAGATGATTTGGTTTAGTAAGAGATAACAGTCTTGTTACCCAGCCAAGGATATTTCTTAAAGGGCAACACAGATTTGTACTACAGGAACAGCAAAGCAGCCTTGCTAAAGGCACACTGCAATTTATGTGCAATGAATACGTATGCTTTTATATGCATATGTACCTATCTCTTGTGAGGATTAATTATGTCCTTCTCACTATTGCATGGCCCACAAAAAAAAAAAAAACAAAAAACAACAAAACAAAAAAATCCCCCAGGAAATTACTTTTTCTCTTGTGAAAGAACAATGAAAAATACCAAGATTCTTCAGCAAGGTTACAGTCGCAAAAAATATGAGTTTAGTCTATGGAATCAATATCCCCAGAGAAAGGTTATTTCACCTTTTATATTAAATGCTTATAAAAACATCACCTTCTTCCTTGCAAAAGATAAAGGCTGACTATAGCTTAAACCACATTAAAGTTTCAGAATCCTGACAGCAGAATTCTCCAGATAAATAACAAGGGAAATTAACTACAGTTAATATTACATTTGCCACCTAAGACCAAGCAATATAATTTAGCAAAATAGGAGTTATTGAAGTCAAACCTGAATGATAGCACTCTCTTTTCACAAGAATTGTGTAAATCTTGCAATAATGAGAGGGAGCTCTGTACCTCAGAGGTAGGGTCAAACACAGGAAAAGTTTTGTCTGATTTCCTCTTCATGGGAGATTTTGGTTGTAAAATACTATCTGATCTTTCAGAATGCTGGCAGGTAGCAAAAGAAAGCAATGGGTTATCTGTGAACTCAAGAATGGAATTTTTCTGGAGATGGTGTTTCCTAATTGCCTATGTCCTCCTTAACGCACTTGTAGAACAGGCTGGAGAAACTCTCCAAGTAAAAATTCATGGGCCATCCTAAACACTAAGCTTTTTTTCCCTACGTCACAGAAGTAAACAGTCTGTTCAACAATAAGTGGCAAGAGACTGTCTTGATAAGAATGGGCTCATGTTAACAGGGCAGCCACAACTCACAGCGTAAGTTGATAGTTAAACACGTATGATTTGGTCCTGGAGTTTCCTTGAGTACAGATTACAAAAATGTTTGTCAAGAATTTATTTTAGGGTAGCTGAAGAACCTGATCACCAAAGAAGCCATGTGAAATCTAGTGATCTATAAGATGGAAAAAAACCCCACAACAATTTTGACAACAAACTACTGTTGATAACGTAAAGGGAAAAAAAGTTACTTACTATACCAGAAATTCCACATGCTGGCATTATTGTCTCCTACATTTCCACTAAACCAGCACCTCCAGAAGAAACCTTCATGATGGAAAGTGGCCTTCTCCTCCTATGAGGTAGAAAAAAAGAAAAGCCATTATCATACAATTTTTAAATGGCTGAAAGAATCAAGTTCAACTGAAACTAGATGTTGAGGTAAAACACACCATCTTCATAATAAACAAAGTTTGTCTGAATATAGGTTAGCTATAGCATATCTAAACAGTTATACTTCCTTTGAAAGAATGTCATATTGTAAAAGTAGCATCAAAAAAGACAAATTCATTTTAGAGTTGATTACAATCGGTTACACGAGGTTTTGTAGCAGGCTTGTAAGCCTCCAGAAGGTTAAAATCAGTATATCCAAAAATTCATAAAGAAGTAAATTCTTACAAAATAAACACATCCAAGAAACCTACATATATAATTCTCATCATAAATAAAAATGTCTATACTAACCACAGCATCTTCAGGTGCTTTCGAACACCTTCCTACTTCTGTAGCCAGAAGCCAATAATCAGTTCCAAATGCTACCAAAAAAAGCAAAACCCCCAGAGCTGCAAAGAAGCCTCCAAAAAATATCCCCACACTCAGTTTCATTATCAAAGTTATCTTGAAAAAAAAATTAATTACTTAAGAAGTACAAAAAATAAAAATTTTGGGGAAAGTGACTAAAAAGCTGTCTGGAGAACACAGCTCACATCTGAAGAAGTTTCTCTTCGATTGACTTTCTGTCTGTGTTTCCCAATGCCCTGTAAGTTGATGTGTGTCTCCTAATTTGTGTTCCATGTGGCTGACTCAAGCCTGACAGATGAAAAGGACCTTCTATTTTAGGACACTGATGGCAGAGCTTCATTCTGTTTCTCTGTCTGGGTGAGGCCAGTCAGAAATAGCTGACCTTCCCCTAACTAATCAGGGATTGACTTGAAATATTATTGCAGCTGGTGCATCAACATCAGTGGAGATGGCAATGAAGTTGCAATGGCTCTGTCCATCCACGTGAACTGCGTTACAGGGCACAGCAGCAAGGACTTCCAAAGTTCAGGCTCGGTGGTGAATGATTCCTTGGCTGCTAGTGAGGAAGGAAACATACGCAACGCTTTGGAAGTTATTGTAATTCAGGTTAGTAAATGAAGGCTGAGATTTTTTATATGGAACCTTGAAAACATGATAGCCAAATTGCAGCGATGACTTTGAAAAATCCTTTTACTATAAATCCTAACTTTTATTACAAATCCAGTTAGTTTTAAATATCTACATCTTATCCTTAAATTAATAGCTTTAACAACACTAAACCAAGCATTTAACCACTTTATTTATTCAGATGCATCTTATTTGCATATACTGTTTGCATATAGTTATTTGTATATACTTATTTGCATATAATATTATGCATATTGCACATACAAATGGATGCAATTAAAAATTTCTCCCAGCACCTGATAAAGAAACTTCAATATTTTTAAAACAGAAGACACTTTCCCATACGTGTTCTTTGGCCATTTTGGAAGGGGATGAGATATCACACTTAAACTCCAAGGACTCTCTGCACAAGAAAAAAGCTTTTCTAACAACTGCTTTTCATGCCAAGAAGGCCTTCCAAACATTTCTAGTGGATTACAGGGCATGGTCCTGTGGAGATTTGTTGAATTCATTATGCAGCACATCCCGCAGTCCTTACCTAATAAATTTCCACTGGTAGTACCTATCACCAGAGTAGAAAACATTCCACTGAATTCCCATGCTGGGAAGTGCTGGGACCAAGAGAAGGATAAATTCAGTTTACTCCACAAAACATCTGTCACAAAATTTCATCACAACAGTCTTAGGTTTCCAAAGGGACTCTTACTTCCAATATCCCAGTATCTGTTTGGCCAGTGCAGCAGAGTGCTCAAGGAGACTTTTTTTTTCTACAACCTCTCCTCATTTCCAGACAGTGTGTCCTGAGTGTTTTTATAACACTACATTATCTGCCTAACACCATGTTCGTATTTGTTACAAATCATATTTTATTCAATCCTGATACTATACTAACTTCATTCACAATCACATCTGATATTTTGTGGCCTTTTTGCACTGCACGGTTCCAGTGTATGCAGAACAGTAAATGAAGTTTTAGTCAAACAGGCTCTTTTTGCCGTATTTGCTTTCCCTAACAGCCACTGATGGAGTTCACTTTGGTATAGCAGAAAGTGATGTTTGGAAACACCGCTTTGGAAAGTGATGTTTTATTGTTCTTTATTAAAGGAAAAAAAAGATCTTCAGGAAAAAGAAGAATACATAGAATGTGTTTGTCGTGGTTTTAGGCTGATCCGGCAACTAAACTCCACGCAGCCGGTCTCTCACTCCAGTAAAGTGGAGAGGAGAAAAATATAATAAAAGGACTGAGGGT